CTTTCTCTTTTCCCTTTCCTTTCATAATTTCATGTATGTGCAATGCCTACAATTCTTCGGACACCGGAGAAAGCAGGTGCAAGTGTAGCATATTTAAGTATTACGATGTTAATTCTTGTGTTTGTTCTATCCCTCTACTATTTCAGTTGCAGGTGGAAATTTGTGTACTCGCCCTTTAGGCTCAAGCGTATGTAAATACGTACTATGTTCATAATTCTCCGTCCCCATGTGGATGTCTTTGTATCCCCTATAATATATGTGCACATCTGGACAGGAAGTCAATCGACTTGGTATTCTTTCGCCTGTTTCTTTTGCACTATCAGCGACTGTGTCCAGATGGCGTGTATTTTCAATTACATTAATAAAATATTTACGCTCCCATATGCAGACAACGATTTAATTTAATAACTGCTACATAATGTATAGATCCACATTCTGCCATTGCACCATACGCCCAGATAATAGCGATAAACTATAACTCAACAACTTGGAGGAATCCATCTACTAGAACTATTAAAACGGAATCGTGTAATGAGAGAAATAATGAATCCCCCGAAGCGAGAGAGAAGAAGGCATATAAGCAGAAATATGCGCACAGCGTACAGAAGCTAAGCCATTTATGCATAAAACCATATTGAGTGTGGAAAGAATCCAGTAAAACAATTTGAAAACACGTACAAAGAGAATCCCAAAAATCTCAACGCCGATTATGGTTCATATATATATTATATTCTGTAGGCCGCATATCTCGAGAATGCACCCGACTTTATTGACACCAAATTAAATATTATTGATGTTCCTCCTACGGTTAAAGAAAGGATTATATAGATTTGTCTCAACCGGACCATAACAGATTCTAACGTGTTCTTAAATGAATTCGAAACACGACGAAGTAAAAGCATCACAAGTTGTCGTACAAAATCTTCAGAAGGAGATTCCAATGTTAAGAGGACCATGTCTCGTATCTGCATTGCCTATATGCTGTTTATACTTATGTACACTCACGAAGTTGTATTCATGTATACATTCCTTAATAAATTTCTTGCATTAGACTATTTTAGAAAAATGCTACATTTACAATTACGCTTACTTCTGAAGGATTATAGGCACCTAAGGAATATTAGCACCCCGGAGGCTAACAAACACGCTCAGTTTTCGTCAAATTTCTTTGGGGCAATGTGCTCCTATTCTGTTATACATACGTGTGCTCCTCAGAAGTTCGATAACTTCTGATGAGAAGTGCACACGTGTCGTTATCCTGCACTCTGATTGCATATATGGGAAACGTTACTCCTTGTGGCAAAAGAACCGATGCTTTCATTTTCAAAGGAGCGACATCAAACATTTATGCGGGGAAGTGCAGTGAAAATGATTCTCCTGCGAATTGTGCATGTCTGCACATAGTTTGCACAGCAGTGTAACATTTTCTATATAGTATGTTGTATGT